GTTCCCTCTCTCGCTGTGTCTCTCTCTGTCAAATAAATAAATAAAAAATCTTTAAAAAAAAAAAAAAAAAGAAAGGGTATGGCCTTCATTTTCTTTACTGACTCAAGGGAAAGCTAACATGGGAAGGGGAAAGGGAAGAGTCTGGATATGTATCTGTGGATTATTTGGCCGTGACCCCCCACACTTTCCCATCTACCTGTGTTAACACATTTCATGGATTTTTCTATACCCACCATATCTGTACCTTTGTCCTTTCTCCTTTCAGAAGGGCGGTATGTTCTTGCTTTTGGGTTTAACATTACTTTACGTCTTTGCTGCAATAATCCTTACTGATGCTTCTGCTATATCACTTACCAAAATCTTTTGGCTTGATGTTCTTAGACTGGATCTCCTTACCTGGAGTTGTGGGGAATAAAGATGGTGATAACCTGAGCTGGTACAAATAGCCCCTGTATGGGGGGTAACTTTTCTGATGTGGATCCCTTCCTCCACATTGGGAAATGGGATCCCAGACCTACATTTAATACCTTGTTGCCCCGGAATTCCAAGTTCTGCCTTTCCTCTCACCCACCACCTCCAACCATTTTCAGGTGCTCTGGCTTCAAGCAGAATGTAGCACTTGAGGTCCTGGAGTATAGAAGATTATTCTCATTCTCTTCTCTAACTCATGCCCTTGTAGATGCTCTCCCTGAAGGGCTGGACCATTTCAGGGCAGCAGAAAGAGCACTACCAAAGGGCTTGGCATTGGCTGGGTGGTGTTCAGCCTGCATAGAGTGGGATCCCCTGAGCTGGGTCCTCATCACTCTCACATAGGGTTTCCTGGAAAATACAGTATATCCCATGCAATATTTAGTACATACTTAGGCTAAAAAGTTATTCATTGTTTATCTGAAATTCACATTTAACTGGACTTCCTATACTTTTGTATAATCTGCTAGTCCTACCCAATCTTTCTTGACCGCAGGTCCCCACCATGGGTCCTCATCACTGTGGCTAGGAGAGCTTTCTAGAGACCACCTGATCTTGTCCTCTGCTTCCAGGAAGCCTGCCATCCACCCCCTTAAGGACAATTGCTTAACAGATGCTTTTCCCTGAAGATCTCTTTACATTCTACCTGTCCTGTCCATACTGGCATACAGAATTGAAGAGATTTTACTTTGAGGTTTGAGGGTCAGCCCTATCTTCCAGAGAATTTGTAATTGTTTTTCCCAGAAGAACTGGGACCCTTCACTCCTGGGAACTCAGACACTGGGACCTCAGAGCCTCTCTCCAGATGCTTCTTTAATTATAGACAGGTTATAATTTGGTGGCTTGGGAAAGAGCCAGCTTGGGTTTGTGTTGGTGGTTGTTTTTGGGTCATGTGTGGTGAGCACAGAGTATATGTTTAGAGAAGAAGGTGGGAGACAGTGTGGAAAGTGGGTGTGACCTCCTCTCCAGACCCATCAATACTCATATATCCAAATACCTAATTACATTAACACCTGAGAAGTCACTGGAGTGAGGTCACCCATCAGACACCTGTGGTTTATGGGAAGCAGAGCTCTGTGGAGCACACTCAGCTTGGCCCTCAGAAGGGTGACGCACCTCTGTCTGTGTTGGTTGTTGACTGGGTTTGAACAGGAAGTCAGCTCTCAATAGGGTTAAGATTTTAGATGATGATATATTTTGGGAAGGAGCCCAAAATATTCTCTTGGTTGGCAGGCCTCCTGGTCTCTAAGTGTGCTAACAAGGTCATTAGGTATCCAGCCCTCAGGGATGTACATACCTAAATCAGGGTAACAAACACAAATGCCTACAGGAGCTAGGTACATAACTTAGTGAAAACAGTCAGATATAACAGGAAGGCCAGTAATAACAGTAGCTGATATTTATTGAGCACTGAGTTTGTGCCAGGCAGTCTTCTGAGTTCTTTAAATATATGGAGAAATAGGAAACAGACACCCAGAAAGGTGAAATAATTTATCGAAGGTCCCATAGCAAAGTAAGTGGTAAGCCAGGATTCGAACCCAGGCAGGCTAACTCCAGAGCGCAAGGTAGCATGGCCTCAATAAGTTACCTGTTGCCTCTGTTTAGTGGAGAAAAGAGGATGGTGAGAATTCTGGCAAACTAGAAAATGTGTCCCATCCAATGGGGACAGCTGCTCCTCACATCTCACCAGGGCTGCCCTGTGGGTTCAGTGTTTCCAGACCTTTTGATTTTTTTTTTCTAAAGAGAAAAAGAAGAATCTGAAATTTCAGGGGGATAATCTCCTGATTATTCAATGTTGCCAACAAAATCAAAATTTTTTATTAAGTTTTTATTTTTAACTCTGGTGTAGTTAACATAAAATCAGATTTTTAATGAACACTTACATAGGTTCGATTCTGCCATGGGTGACCTGTTTATGACCTCTGACTTAAACCACTCAGGACAGATTACTGCTGTCTTAAAGATCGACACCCCTTCCTTTAAAAAATTAGTTGGTGTATTTCCTAAGTCCTATTTCCTTTAGAGAACTTTCTAGTAATTTCTTTCTTGGTCAAGAAGATCTATTCATAGCCAGTTTAAGTGATTCCTGCTACATTCACAACCTCTCTGCTCTGTGCTCTCTCCTGACAGAGTGTCCCAAGGGTCCTGACATCCTGGTGGTCCTGCTTTCAGTGATGGGGGCCATTTTGCTCATTGGCCTTGCTACTCTGCTCATCTGGAAGCTCCTCATCACCATCCATGACCGGAAGGAGTTTGCTAAATTTGAGGAAGAGAGAGCCAGAGCAAAATGGGACACGGTAAGAGGCTGGGCTCGGCATTTTCTCAAGTCATTGGTTTGAGAGCCTCAAGTGGAAGCTGCAGATGCATAGGGTGGCCAGGTTCAGCTAGCCCATAATTTCCCTGTTAGCCTCTGTTCTGGAAATTAGGAGATGGTCCCATTGTCCTTATTATACCTGGAAACCCCACCCGATTCTCTACCACATAGTGACAACTAGTCATGTCAGTGAGTACTGACGGAACACAGGTAGGGCCCAGCTCTGCTCTGGACACTGATGCAATGAAAAAGAGACTTCTCCAGTTGAAGAAGATAGGACAAACTTGAGAATTCTACACTGAGAACATATAATACATTATATCCTGATGAAATTCAAAGCATTAAACACAAACAGAAAATAAAAAAAAAAGAGCTAACTTTTGCTGAGGATTCACCATATACTAGGAACTGTTCTAAATGATTTTTAGGTATTAACTTCTTCCATCCCTGTAACAGCCCTAGATAGGAGGCAGCATTATTTTTCCCATTTTATAGGTAAGGAAACAGCACAGAGAGCTTAAGCAGCTTGCCCGATTGTGGGAGGGAATTAAGTTATGATAGGAATTACTTTTTGGACCAGCCTCTTAAAAAATATCCTTGGGGTGCCTGGGTAGCTCAGTCAGTTAGGTGTCTGCCTTCAGCTCAGGTCATTATCCCAGGGTACTGGGATCGAGCCCCTCATTGGCTCCCTGCTCAGCAGGGAGTCTGCTTCTCCCTCTCCCACTCCCCCTGCTTGTGTTCCCTCTCTCGCTGTGTCTCTCTCTGTCAAATAAATAAGTAAAATCTTAAAAAAATATCCTCCCTGTAGTTTATCCTGATAGAATTAAATGAAACAATCATCTACTGAGAACTTTCTGTATACTTAATTTTACTCTGTTCTTCTTTGGTTCATCTTCCACATTTTAACTTTTTTCTGGACCTTCCAAATGGCTGTTTGACTCCATGCATGTCCAGGGGGAGGCTTGAGATTCTCTCTCTCTGCCCCGCCCCCTCCAAATAAGTGAATAAATCTTAAAAAAAAAAAAAGAAAAGAAAAGAATTTGGGAAACCCAGTGAGGGTTTATTTTTTCTTGCTAACATGACAATTTGTGGGTAGTGCTTGGAGGGATGAGATGAGAACAAATTAAAATTATTTTGAGCAAAAGCTGTCCTCTCGGTTTCAGCTACCACCTGCTACATTTCCCATCTTTGCCCACTTCCCCCAGCATGGTCACAAGGAAGGAAAAATAGGGAGAAGGGCAAAAGAGAGAGTTCAGGAGAGAGGCAAGAAATCAATACTGGCAAAAAGATATCCTGAAATGTTTGGTGATCCCCCAAAAAGTAATGGGCTGGATTCAGCCCCTTAGAAATAGCAGTAGGATGGCTTTCCATCTTCTCTCTGCTCTTATTTCCTATCCATTCCCATCTTAAGGGTGAATATGGGGTACAATGAGCATTAAGTGGTTCATCCCAATGGTATATCCCAGAGAAAGGTGTCTTGGGTAGACTTTTCAGACGAAATGTAATCCTTGAGGGAAGGGGAGAGGTGAGGAATTCACTGCTTCTCTGTTCTCTCCACAGGCCAACAACCCACTGTACAAAGAGGCCACATCCACCTTCACCAACATCACCTACCGCGGCACTTAATGACAAGGAGTCATCCTCAGATCACTATCAGGCTGTCCCAGAATTGTAGACATCTCTGCTGTCATGTTTACAGGGAACGATATCTGTGGGGCGGGATTGGGGGCTGGGCGTGGGGTGGTTCGGAAGAACATCAGTCTGTGGAAGTGTGGGTCTCTGTGCGTGTGTCCATGTGAGTGTGCTGCGTGTGGGGGAATGTGTAATTTAAAACTTGTGGTATGTCCCAGGTAAGCGGAGCTCCTCAGCCATCCACAGAATGCCTCTTTCAGGGATTCTTCCTGCTTAACCTGAGGGTGACCGACACAGCTGAGCAGGTGTTCTACGTTACCTCAGTGAGAAGCCAGCTTTCCTTTTCTGGCCATTTCTTCCTGAAGAGGAGGGCAGGGCTGAGCCTCTCATTCCAGAGAAAGGGACCTTGACTCTACTATGAGTTCATGGTTCTTGGGCCTGACGCTCAGCAGCTCTGATAGCAACTGCTGGGCTTGGCAGCCTTGTGTCATCTGGGCCTTTATCTCCTTTCCCTTCCCTCAGGCTGAAGGAGAAATCTTGCTAGCAGTTCTGTGGGGAGTGAGGATGGTAGGGCCACTCAGGGGTCATGCATGGCCTGGATGAATGTGCCGCGGTCCCCCAGTTCATCATCATCACCCTTCATATTTGTCTCATTGGCAGCTCCACGCTAGAAGTTCCTTTAGAAGAAGTGTGTCACCCCTTAGACCAGCATTGCTTCTTTACCTTCTACTTCCACACTCCCACTGCTGTAGACATTTGCTGCATCCTGGGGATTTCTTTCATGACCAAACACTGCCTCCCAGGGAGAGTGCTGTGATTAGAGCCAGAGGTCTGGCCCCACCCTTCAGGCCCTCCGCCCCTGGTCCAGGGCACCTGCACACACCCAACCTGGTGCTTCTGTGTGCTACATCCATCCATCCATGCGGCTGATTGCATTTATCTACCTCTTGGCTGTCCTTGGGTGAAGGAATCGTTCCCATGGCTCTCTGAGTCTGCTGGGCATAAATGCCACATTTGGAATGCTGGGTCAGTTGTATCAGCGTGTGTGGCCTATTCTCCTGTGGGCTGGGCAGCCTCATTTTAACTCAGTCTTTAATCCGAGAGGCCAGAAGTGCAATTTTATTTTATTTTTCTCATTGGGTCACCTGAAACCATGATGAGGCTTGCTTAATCTAAAGGAGTATGTATATAATCACACTTGCATTATATTTGTAACTTTATTTGGTGGTGAGGAAGAAGAGTGTTAAAAAAACAAACAAACCCGCACAGACTTGGACTGGATACAGACCCTCCCACTTGCCGTCATTCATAGGCAGTTGCTGCTCTGTCACTGGGTCTGTAAGGGCTCGCTCATCCTGGAAGCCTGTGGGGATGGACCCATGGGCATGCTGGGCCTTTTCTGAGGAGGTGGGATACAGGCTGTTCTTTTTTCCTAGCCAGAGCTGTTTGCTCTGTTGGTATTTACCTTAGTCTCATCACCCTTACCCCCATTCCATCAAGAAAAAGGGAAGGACCTATAGAGAGTGGTCTGATGATCAGAAAATCTAAGTCCTGGCCTCAGTGTTGCAGCTAAGGAATCTTTAACCTTAATTAAGGCGAGTCTCTTCTCCTTGGGGCTCAGTTTTCTAGTCTGGAAAATGATAGGTTTGGACCAGTCACTCTAGAAGGTCTGTTTTGGTGTTGATATTCTAAGATGCTGGGACTTCCCATGGCATCGAGCATGGAGTTAAGATTCTGTGAGATGTTACTGGTTGTTGTTTTAGTTGGGAGACCTGAGAGACCTGGCTTTGGCAAGAGCAGATGTCATTCCACATCACCTTTCTCAACAAAAGAGCCTCATTCTATTCTCTCTCAGAACCCCTTCCCCGACATTTGTTAGCAGTTACATCTCCTGATGTAGCACTCAAGCTCCACTTAGCTTATTATTTCTTATTTCACTTTGCACACATTTGCAGCCACGTATAAGGAAAAGGCATCTATAAAAGTAGCTGAAATATGTATTCTGTATCCGTGGGTTAACATTGAGAATAAGCTTTTGGAATTAGGAATGAGGCAAATGACTGAGCCTTGTCTCATCCATGGATTACTTGCGGATGGTAGTACAGTCGAGGGTTGAATCCAAGAAGTTTCAAACCTAACTATACCTTTTGCCTACTGAGACAAGAGTCCATTAGAGTAGTAGTTGGATATTTTCTTTAGATAAGATGGTTTATGTGAAGAAATTGTATCAAAGGAGGAAGAACATATTTAAAAGATTAAAAAAAAAACGGTAGGACTCTTGTCTGAGCTTCTGGAACAAGGCTTCTAAGCCTTTGTCTGTATGTGGGGGAACCTGTTCACGAGATAACAAAGTGCAGTCAGTTCTGGCCTCATGTAGGGTGAACATCTAAATAGTATTTTGGCATTGGCACGGCCCCAAAAGGTTATTCACGCTCAGCTCATCTGGAGATAATTTATGTTCAATCTCAGGGTCTGTGGACAGTAACGGGAAGCTTTGAACATTCCTGACAAGTTGTCACATAAGGAGTCAGTTCTTTACCTCTCAGATATTCTTAGACCACCCATGATTTCAAGATACTTCTCTTTGTTAAGTATTCCTGGTTGAAATGACTTAAGTGCCTTCCTGACTTCCCAACCACCCCCTCTGTTTGAGTTGTGCAACAGTGAATTAAATGTGCTTTCCAAAACGAATTGACCTAAGGCTGCCCAGGTCTTCCTGTGTTGTACTTTCTGTTTTCTTTGGGTGAAAAGAGTAAGTGTCATTGCCTCAAAAATGATTATTTTAGAACAAGCATGTTTCCAAATGTAACCAAAGGATGACTGCTATGGGAACTGAAGTTCGGTCCAGAACCCAGAGTTTTTCTTCAGACTTTAATAACATTTTCAAAGTCAGTAGGTTATTACGCTCTAAGAGAGTTGTTTTGCTTTTAATTGGGGATTTTTTAGAACTTGTGCAACCTCAATAGAACAGACTGTCAGTTTAGCTCCGGTTTTGTTTGCAGGAGGCATAAATCGGTACAATAAAGGCTTAATGGCAAATTATTTCCAGGATCATTTAAATGCCCAACTTTTATTTAAGGAATTAGGTCTCAGAGTGTGGTCCCAGGACCAGCAGCCTCTGTATAATATGGGAATTTTTAGTTTACTAACATTGTTGGTAATGAAAATGCAAAGGCCACACCCCAGAACTACTAACTCAGAAAACCTGAGAGTGGGGCCCAGCATTCTCTTTAAGCCTTCCTGGTGATTCTGTGGCATACTCCAGTCTAAGAACCACTGACATTGGGGCGCCTGGGTGGCTCAGTCGTTAAGCGTCTGCCTCCGGCTCAGGTCATGATCCCAGGATCCTGGGATCGAGCCCCGCATTGGGCTCCCTGCTCCGTAGGAAGACTGCTTCTTCCTCTCCCACTCTCCCTGCTTGTGTTCCCTCTCTCGCTGTCAAATAAATAAATAAAATCTTAAAAAAAAAAAAAGAACCACTGACATAAAGAGTCACATACCTATCCTTCTGGCTTAATAAGTTTGCAGTAAGTCAGTTCAGTTACTAAAAATTATGAACAGAGCTTGGCTGGTAGATTAAGAAAACCAAGTATCTACCCACATAAAATGAAAATCTACTTTTGATCCATTTTCCAAGTTAAGTGATCAAAATTAACTTTTTAAGTTAATTCTTGGGTTCACTGTCAGCCACCAATTCCCATGAAAAACTAAGAGAAGTAATAGATCAAAATCACAGGGAAAAACAACAACTAACAGGATCCTTGGCAGGCATCTAAGAAGAACTTTTACTCACAGGGGATGGGATCAATATCTTCATTATTTGCACTATCATTCTATAGGATAAGACTTTAGAATTTGTAACTTCACTTTGCTATTTAAAATGTACTGAGCCTCGACAGTGTGGGATTGAAGTTACTTTACAGGACACTCATAATCTTTGCCTTTAAGTCTTGCATTCCTTACATAATGTACATTTTTAAAAACACATTATAGTGCATGACATCATAAAAAGATTACGTGAACATAGACTGAGTCCTTTTATGGTGAAATTTTGTAAGAGTCACTGTGTTTTATTTATGTCATGGCGACTGATGACTAAATGTCTGGATGAAAATGGAGGACTTTCGGGGCACCTGGGTGGCTCAGTCGTTAAGCGTCTGCCTTCGGCTCAGGTCATGATCCCAGGGTCCTGGGATCGAGCCCCACATCGGGCTCCCT